TTTCCATTGATCGGGAGTAGTTATTTCTGTCCATTTTAGATGCTTTGGTGTATAGGTAGTTGTAGGAGTTTCTTTACTATGTATTGCTAGTATAGTTGTTTTGCCTTTATCATCTTGCAATAAACATCTTGGATTAGACTCAGATGTAGAATGCTTGAAGTAAATTCGATACAACAATAAGTAGCCATGTCTTTCTTGTTGAAATTTAATTTCAGGTAAGTGTACATTTAGTACTAATGTATTAAATATAGTAGAATCATGTAAACTTACTTGAAAGTTTGGAGCACAATTAAAATATACTGCTCCATTACATAGATTTGATTGTACTGCTCCTAATAAGGAGTCTTCAATTTTTAATAAAGTTTTATCTCTTAATAATAACATAAGTATAAAGGAATCTATTCCCGTTCTTGATAGAGGTTTTATTGCTATTTGTATTAAGCCAAAATGAATACAATTTAATTTCTTCAAATTCATTTTGTAATGATATAGTTTGTTCATGTTTTTTTATTAAATATGTACTTTTAAAATCAAAAGTTCATATCTGATATATATTTTCAGTATTAACATGAGGTAATTGATCATGCGATATTTCTTTGTTAAAAGTTGTAATTTTTGACATTATTTTTCTTGAATTAATTGTTTTTTGAGGCGCAAAAGAAGCAGTATGTTTAGACTTAAACCATTTTCTAACTGAAGATGTCATGCTATAAACTCTATTTAGACTCTATGTGACCTGCAAACTAACCCGAATTTTTCAAGGACGGACGGAACTGCAGCTTACCAACGGTCTCACTGTCTTTAAGACTTACTGCCTGAAACACCTACATCGACGATGCTTTTGACAAGTGCTGGTAGAAAATCTTTTAACAAAAGACCCAAGATTAGTCTAAGCATAAAACCTTTTGTTTGAAAATGTCTTAAGAAAACAAATTTTCTACAATATATACTTAGCTATTTTTCTTTGCTCTGATACCATTTAAATCCCAGGTTATATAAAGTTATATAAACTTATATAAGAACTGGCATATTAGTTTATATAACTTTATATAACCTGGGATTTAAATGGTATCAGAGCCAAGAAAAATTGCTAAGTATATATTGTATAAATGTTGTTTTCTTAAGACTTTGAAATAGATAAAGAATGCATTAAAAATAATTTTTCTTTGTTCAAGTTTAATTCAAGTTTATTTTCAAGTTAGATAACTATGAAATAGATAACTACATATTTTCAGTGGATTTTCAGTGAGAACTTCCTTATGTTCTGGATCCTTATGTTAACAATTCGTAATGTTTTGTACTTCCTTATGTTGTGTATAAACATTATTCTGATAATTTAAACTCGAACCGTTTAGGCCAAGTATTCCTCATATATAAGTGGTTACACCAAATAATACTAGGATATACAATGGTTACACCAAATAATACTAGGTTATACAAATGAATGTCGACCCCTTTCAACTTAGCATTTCCCAATTTACATGTGGTTTCACTAATAATATGTAGTTATACCAATTTATGGTTTTCAATAATACATTTGGTTTCACCAATTAATACTTAGTTATACCAATTTATGGTTTTTAATAATACCTTCGGGTTTACCAAATAATACTTAGTTATCTAAAGCCAATAATAAAAATAGTAAGTACACACCCTAAAGTTTGAGAGTTTATTCCAAATACAAATACAAATATCAAATGTCAGAGGAGACTTAACGTATCTGCCTTGTGTTTGGCCCTAGCTTCGATTGCTATTGTTTCTGTTTACCTGCACCCACTTCTGCATTCACAGCGTCAGCAACACGTGGTTCTACCTACACATACCAAGTAATAAAACATAGTGCTACCACAAACTATGAAGTATTACCAAAACAATGGATATTACTCTTCAAACTTCAATACCTCTTTACTTCTAATCAGGTACGGAGATCAGTCTACAAGTAGCTCCGCCTCCTTCTGCTCCGCCTCCTTCAGCTCCGCCTCTTTCAGCTCCGCCTCATTCAGCTCCGACTCTTTCTGCTCCGGCTCCTTCTGCTCTGTCACCTTCTGCTTCTTCTTCGGCTGCTTCTTCTTTGCCTACTTCTTCTTTGGCTGCTTCTGCTTCTTCTTCGGCTACTTCTGCTTTTTCTTCGGCTGCTTCTGCTTCTTTGCTTTCTCAGTTGTCACCACACTTTCAAGTTTCTCTCCACCTTCTTCATCATTTCCTAAAAATTCTCCTTCCTCATCTCCAGGTCCTTCTCTTTCTCTACTTGCCTCTTTTACATATTGCTCTGCAGAGGAGAGTCTTGTATCAATACCATCCATACGGGCACTGATTCGGAGAAATTGAGCATCCATACTCTTCTGCAAGCTCTGCAGCTGTTTCACCAATCCAAGAGGCGCCACATTCTCCGTTGCCATATTTTTCTTAGCCACTGCAGGATGGTTTACCCACTCCTTATTATCTCGGGCATCAACATCGATCTTGCTTATCTCTTTCCAGAATATCGGCTTATTTTCCTCAACTAAACGCCTCGTCCAATTTTCAGGAACGATATCACCGACATCTTCCTCTTCATTCTTCTCCATGACTCCAGCAAGCATAATTACCTCATCCTCGGATGGTTGCAATATACTCTCGATGACCCTAGTGTTACCCAGTATTTCATAGAGTTCCGACAAAGGAAAACTTCTTAAGATGAATGGTTGGAACTTCTGCCTGCATATCCGGGAACAATCCCTCTCTCTGCTCCTCTAACATCTTCTCTGTATTTGTTCTTCAGACATGAGATGGCCTCAAAAGCTAGCAACTACACATAACCCAAAAATTTTTACTGAAGCTCATAGTATTACATACTTACAAATTCTTTATAATGTGACATACCTCCAAGGGAGTAACAAATCTTGGAAATGTCCAGACATCTGTTTCGACGACCCCTTTGAAATGCATCATTGTGTGCTCAATCTCCTTCATATTTACATCGAAGGAATACCTACCCCAAGGAAACCTTTTACAAGCCTCAAGATCATCCACAATCCTCAGGAATAAGGGGTCAACAGATTGTGCTCCCTTACCAGTTTTCGTTTTCCCACTAATTATAGAGGATAAGAAGTAGGCGAGACACATCTTCAACCGATCAGGATGATCTAGCCCTCGCATCGACTCTAGCTATTTATCAACAGCAGCAAGGTAGGGGACGGTTTCCTGGAAATATCTATTCTTAAACGAATTACTTCCTATGCTCTCATAGTCCTCTGGGTACGGTAGACAGTTTAATCCACACAAAAGGGTATGCTCTCTAAGGGAATAGTGAATTGGTATGCCATTCACTACAAACCAAGCTTCCCTCTTCTTATTTGTGTTTGCTGTCCGAAGAAGAAGCAACCACATTCTCATCATATTGTGTGTTGTGTCCTCATGCATGGCCCTATGCATGTGCCAAAAGTGCTTGAACTGTGGGTGTTCTCTAAACCAGCTCAGCTCATGGGGTTCAAGGTCTAGGGACTCCAAATTCGCAACATCTTTGTGGATATAACATCTTGTTCCCAACTTTATTGCATTATGATACTGATTGGGCTCGAAGAACATTCTCACAGGTGGCAATGGCTGGTTCTCCTCCTCCTCTGCCTCACTTCTGTAGTTTCAGTAGTGTTCTGCACAACATTATCTGATTATTACCCGTCTCCGAATCGGCTACTCCTTCTACCATTTTCTCCTGCGACGAATCGGAATCTGAGTACAGTTCTTGTCTAACATAACTAAACTCTCTTTCGATACCATCCATGACTCCTATTTTGTAATTACCAACCGAATAGAAAACATATAAATTGATTCTCGATTCTACACATAATCGAGTTAAATTCTACGAAGTTATCTAAATAGAAAGTACAAAATCAGAAGACAAAGACGAACGAACCTGATTTAGCATTGATTGAAAACATGCAGCAGCAAATCACTTGTAGTTGTCCCATAGAATACTACACGAAGACGACGAGATAACAATATCGAATTCGAAATTTGAAATCTTTTTGTTTTTAAATTTTGTCACCACAATTTTGACTGATGATCCGATTTATTCGGATTTAACCCGATATGACAGATTGGGTGTGGATCTTGGTGGTTGTGTTCGTAAATATCAAACTTTACTAAGGAGAAAGGACTCCCAAGTATTTGACCGTTTTTCTTCCTTTTTTTCCTTAAAATAAATCAAAAACAAAATAAATATTATGATGAAGAGATATGAGAATTTTTTTTATGTGGAAGGAGTACACGAGATTATTCCCTCTCTTGCTGTTCACTTATATACATGTACAAAAGCAACTTAATGCCGTTAAGATTACGGTTTTGTCTTTTGATGTGGGCTTAACGTTAGAGACATTGATTTTTTGTAATTTTTACGGTTTTTGAATTTATCTATTATTTTGTTAGCCTTTGGCTTTGGCAACAAATTTTTGGACTTTTGCAATATAGTTTTTTTAATAAAAAATTCTGTGCATTTTCTCAAGGATTTGTCTTAAAAATATCCCGTGGACCCTTGAGTGTTGGCCCCTCTCGCTATCTCTTAGAGCACCTCCGACAGCAGGATGAGAAGATTTTAATCAATAAATTAAATAAAAAAAATTAAAAAAGTATGAAAGAGATTAGAAGAAGCTCTAAAAGCTCTTATATTAGAGTCCAATGAGAGAGGGGATCTAACACCTGTCTATTTTTATTGGTTTGATTGTTTAACAATAACAAAAATTAAATTAAATAATTAAATTATATTAAAATAATAATATTTTATTTTTGAGAACCTCCTTTTGAAGATCTCATTGATGGAGGTTGTCTTAGAACCGGCCCACAGTTATGTCCTTTTCTTCTCTAGTTTGTAAGCACTTTCTCAAAACGAAGACAACTTTTAGTCTCAAGTCTTAACAACTTGAAAAAGGAGATAATGGTGATGTTAAATAAACTGTTGACAAACAGAAAACAAGATTTATATTAGCACTCGGCTTCCTTTCCCCCTCCTCCTCCAACTCTGACTTTCTTTGCATTTAATCCACATAGAAAACAAATGACGCAGAAACAACCCCCAATCTCTAGCTTAACTATAAAAACTCTAGTTCAGAGCAGGCCTGATTCTCTTCTCGCCTCCTCCTCGTTCGGCTGAGTCTTCCTCTGACAAAGTTTCCATGGATTTGGAGAAGTTGTTAGAGAGATTAATATCAATATAAACGACCCTCCTCATGTTATTGTTCAATTCTCGTATCAAACCAACGTTTCGTCCGAGGTTGTCTGGAATTCTGGACTCATGATTTTGGTTTATCTCGTTAATCAGCAATCTGTTTTGGTCCAATATGTTTTGCACCTGAACAAAGCTGTTTTGAAACGTCTGCAGAATCTTCCTGTTGATCTGATGAGCTCCGTTTCCCATTAATCTAGAAACAGTGTTTCCATCCATAATTGTTATCTGCAAGATCAAAGAAATCGAGGAAGAAGATATAACAAATCCAAGGGATAGGTTGATGATGATGCAAATTATGTGATCTTGAAAGGGTTTTATGGTGATGTTGGTACTTTGTCGTTGTTTTTAGACATGATGTATAATTGTCATGTGTAGACATAAAAAAACGCATCACACTATTTCTATAAAGATCAACTTTTTCTTGAGTTTTGTAACAAATTTATTTATTTGCTTCATAACCAAAAAAAGATTAGCAAAATTAGCAATAACAATAATGTGAAAAGACCATAAATAATAAGTGGACCGTCTGGAACTATATAGAGAAAGAGTAGCAAAAAATGGTTTGTGATTTTAATTTTGGGACCAAAAGAAGAAACTGTTGACCCAATTAGTTTCAGACAAAATGTGCAGAGAGGATGAGACATTTGTGAGTTCTGCTTCTTGTTTCAGACAAAACTCATTACTATTCACAGCCTATCAAACCATGAAAAAAGAACTACCATATATTAATTTTTTTCATTTAATTAATATAATTAATATATAAAAATACTAATATACGTAGGTTACGTAATACATGTATAAGGCATTATCAGCATCTTATCAAATTATAACGTAATCACTGCTATTTTGTTGGCTGATGCCAGTTTTTAACTTTAAAACTATTTTTTTTATTGAAGTTTTTTTTTGTCTAGAAAAAGGTTGTTGCTCTAACTATTTTGTCGAAAGGTTGTTACTCTATACTAAAAGTTTTGCATCTGAAACTGAAAAATTTATTATTTTTTTTATATATATATATATACAATATACATATATTTATGATTTTTTCGGGCTTTCATTTAAGACCAACTTTTATTTATTTTTTAGCAGGAAAAAACAACAAAAAAACAACAAAAAGATGATCTTTTACCCGATGTCGCGAGGTTACCACTGTGTCAGGTCGATGCTTCCTGGATAAGTAACGGCCTGGTGAGTGGGTGGAGTCTGATGGATGATAGGGGCGGTGAGATCTTTGGCCTTCAGGGCTGTCGTAGAAGCCTTTCGGCCCTTCATGCCGAATTGGAGAGTCTGTTATGGGCTATGTCTTGTGTGTTAGAGAGACAAATCTTATCCGTTCACTTTCAGACCGATTGTTTGGATTTGGTAAGCATGTATGAATATCCATCGGATTGGCCATCCTTTTCATCAGAGTTGGAAGCCCTTCATATTCTTCGGGGAAGCTTTCTGGATTTCAATCTATCACATATCCCCAGGAGTTCAAATGTCCGAGCAGATAGTCTGGCAAAAGGAGCTCGAGCAAGAGATAGTTTCTTTTCCCAGATCATTCATAACGAGCCAGTTGACGATGGTTTCGGGACCATCTCCTTAACGGGCCAAATGTGATGTAGTAACTGGGTTGTGGAAAAAAAAAAAAAACAAAAAAAGATGATAATGAGGATTTCCGTCATTATTCTTTTGGTGGTTTTATATAGTCTATCCAATGTCCCAATTTCATTTGGAGAAGAAAAGAATGAATGTTATACCACTGTTTTTATACTGTTTTTTTATAACAAACATGATTCAATTTCAATTTAGATTTGGGTTGAATCCATCGAATTTGGTATAAAAAAAACTCATGATGAACATAATCATAAAATATTCTTTTTTTTTCAAACATGTTTTTTAAGAGCATTTATCCATAGTCTTTCACAAGAGTCCCTTATAACTGAAATTTATACATATAGCATCCTAAATACTGGAAAAATCTCTCAAACGAAAAAACTTTTGGGCAAGTTTCACCAATATTTGATAGAGATATCTACTTGATAGTTTTTTTTTTTAATTTATGAGAAGTTCATGTGAGAGACTTTAATGGAAATACCTTAAGAATGACGAACGTTTACTTTTTTAAACCAGAAAGTGAAAAGGAGACGAAAAAAAACAAAACTAAGAAAACATGAGAACAGATCAACCAATGCCAATTAATTCAACCCAAACAAAATCAACAAAATGTAAAAAAAAACCGTAATAAAATTCTTAAAATATTCAAAAGAAAATACATTTGGGGTAAATTTTAGAGCTAAAATACGTATTAAAAGGGAAAATCTGAATAACTCGTTAACTGAAGAGTCATGAAATAATAAATAAAAGAACAATAGAACAGTGGAAATTAAAAGTGGAGAATAGAAAATATGCATGTGAAAGAAAAAGAGAGGGAATTATGATACCTGGAACAAAATTTTTAGAGCATATATAGGAGAGAGTGTGAGTAAGAGAATTTTTTTCTGGAAGAGAGAGACAAAGATTGCCGATCGGACCGACGGAATCTCGTTGACAAAATAATAATAATTTTTTGGAAACTCAGATTTTTTTCGCTTTCCCTCTGAAAGAAAAAGAGGAGGGAGAAGATGAAGATTTGACAGTCACACAAAATAGGATCATCAGTGTCTTATAAATGGAATATATATATAAAATATTTTATATATATATATATAAATAAATATATATATATATATATCCAACTTCTTCTAGTTTATTTCAGATACTTATGACTTTATACTTCTTTAATTTTATTATATATTTTATAGACACAATATACAATAAAAAAAATACATTGCCATGTTATAATAGTTGTCGTTTCTAGCAAGAAAAATACTTTTCACAATTATTACATTGAAAAATATTTTTGTTTAGTCCATTTTCAAATTGATTGATTTCTCATAGTTATATATTGTAAAATAATGCGAAAATATGTTGCAAAGGAAAATGTAGCTTTTGCTATCAGCCAAACATGAAATATATGTGATTGATTTTCTAACAATACACAATAAAGTTGTGTTAATATATTGAGATTACTATATGATAACAAACATGTATTATATGTTTAACTTTTCTAAGATAGAGCGACAAATATATCTCATTCCGGACATTCGGTTATATAAAAAAAAAAAAGTGTTACATAAACAAGCTAAGTATTTTTATTATTATTTTGTCATGATCAAGTAAGTTATCTGAAACCTTCATGCAATTAGAATATTTACCTACTTTTCCACATATTTTTGGGAAAAAATATGCTAGACTATATATCACTAGTTATAAGAAAACAAAAAAATACAAAAGCATTGGTTCGTGAATTTTAGTTGATTTATAAATCCAAACGAAGACATGTGTTATTGTATCAATTTTTTTTTTTAAAAAAAAATCAGGTGTTATTCATTCAATAATTTCTAAATATCAATTGTATTCTGTTATAATTGGTTTGATAATTAATTATTAGATATCAAAATCTACAATAGATTATAGTGGATTTGGAGGTATTATGATTGAATATATAAAAACTTAGATTTGAGTGTAAACCTTGTTATTCAAAATCTATATGTCAGATTTTAAAGTCAGTATAGATTTTTAAATTTAATATACATTTATAGTTTTTATCAACTAGTAACAGTTTCTTATTATTTTAGACCGAGATATTATATTTTTCTATTAATTATTTGTTTTGTTTTTTTATTATTTTTTAGTTTACTTTTATTAAAAGTAACAATAAATATAAATCAACATATATTTGAAAAAGTATTAAATCAAATTCTAAGGATAACTAGGTAAATGATCAATTTTCCTTAAAAAATTAAGAATACATCACCGCTATTTAAATCATTAAAAAATTATCAAAATATATTTTTGATGTCTTTTATACCCCTATGTAAAAAATAGACTTTTGAGTTCTATAATATTTGATCGTATTCTATTTATAAACATATGTTTATTGTAAGAAGTTTATCTCCTATCTATTTAATCAATACTTAATCGATTACCCAAGATCTTACTTATGTCATTATAGTACTTGAGGATCAATCCAAATGGATATGATCAATACGCTAGGAATACAAAAAAAAAACTCTTTAATTTAAGCAAATTCAACAAATGGTTTTTTATCTAGCAACCTAATTAAGATTCAAATTAAGCAAGCAAAAAATAATAAAGATAAATCCTTAACTAAAAAGATTGAAAAAAATGATAAAGATAAATTATTGGTTGAGGTTATTGACTTGGGATGATTTCTAAGCTAATCGATGATATCAAAACATTTAAATACATGCTATATCTTAGGTTTAGATCATTAATTAAGACTAATTTATATTCATGACACTAATTATTTTAATTACCTAATCAAGAACAACTTTTCATTTGTGAAAAGAGTCATTGACAAGAATTGATAACAAGATCAGACAACCAATAAACACCTTAGACAATCATTCTCATGAGCTACGGATATAAATCTTTTATCTAAATTGTTTTAAAGAATTTTATCAAACACCTTCTAGGTTTTGAAATTTCCTAACACCCAGTTAACTTTCTCAAACAAATTTAGCATTACCATAACTTAGATCAAAAAAGGAAAATAAGAATCTCTAACATAAATTAAACATCTGTTGTCAAAAAAAAAAAAAAAAAAAACATAAATTAAACATCATAGATCACACCCATAAACTCTTTAATCTAACTCACCCATAGATTCAAACCCACTAATTATGATTAAACCCAAAAATCCTATTAAAGATGAGTTGTTAATAATGATTAAAGATAAAAAAAAGAAAAATGATTATTAAGAAAACAAACTTAAACTTGCATTAAACTCTAAAAAAGATCTGTTATGAGTTTTTAAACTCAGAAAAGGAAAGTTTTTTACATGAGAAAATATTATATCCACTAAAACTAGGCCTGTGACTATTTATAGGTTAGCCTCACCACCTGGAATTAAGGCACAACACTGGTCAGTCTTCAAGCGTGTAACTGGCTGGTGTGGGTGTCTTTGGTGCCTGGGTCTTCAACACCGGTCACTTTTTCGCTGGTGTCCCTGGGCAGTGCTTGCTCGGCTTAGATGTATTTTCAGCACGGGTCTCCAACACCTAGAAACAAGTCATTGTTGTATGGTATTGAGGTGAGGAGAAAGGTGCAGCACAGGCCAAGATTTTTCCGGTGTGGATTATGTAGTGTCTTCTCAGCTTCAACATCTTCTC